GTACATGTAGGCCATTCATCAGCAGTTGTTTCTTCTCAGTTTCTGTGTAGAAGTTCATATTTTAACAGTTTATTTCCTTATAGCTTTAATCTACAACGTACACATGTAGTTTACTGATTATATGTGCGGTGTCTGCTAGTCTTCATTCCAGTAGCTTCTCGGGGCTTTCCTCGGATTCCTCCAGATTCCCATGAGTGTGTAGTTCAACACTGAGCACAGTTCCAATTTCATGTAGTAAGGCATTCCACCGTTTCTAGGAAAATTGTGTTTTTATTAATTACCATGTAAAGCCAGCAAGAAAGGCTTGCACGTACATGCAGTCATGTCATACATGTAGAGCACAGTGTGTGTATATTTGGAGTTGTAAAACAGTCTTAGTGAATTCTAAATCCTGGACGTTTCACAGGTAATGAAGACATGATTGACTATGTCAGTTCACCTGTTAACCCCAAGAGCTAAGCCCAAATATAGTCTTTATTGTACAAGTGCCAAGGTTTATTCTCCTTTACCTCCTAGCATGGGGAATGTCTTGTTTGGGTACAGCTCCCTTAAGAACCTGGACCACAAAGTAAAGAGTTTGAATGGATTGGATTGGTGTGTGCCCCAGTTAGAAGAAGCAGTATTTTGCTGTACCATCCCTGAATGTTGCAGTGAATGTTTAGGAAGACCCCTGAACAGAGTGGTGCTAACCAATACAAATGAATGCCAAGGTTTGCCGGGGCTGTTCCAAAGTTACAGTTATGTACTCTTTTTTGGTTGGAGTTGACAGGTAGGTAACAAGTGCTATGATCAGAGCTGTGAAGGATTTCTTTTTAATGTTTGATTGTTTTGCTTCTAGAGCTGTAACAGGTGTAGATTTGATTTGCTTGATATGGAAGCATCAGGTTGTTTTTGGTTAGTAAAGGCAGCCTTTGACAGGCAACATTAACAGGTTGCTTTTAACCCAAAGTGTTTGCAAATGAGAGAGTAGTTGGAGCTAATACCTTGCATATTTGATGCAATCTTAACCATTCATTTCTCATCCCAGGCTTTGTCGCCTGGGAGAAGCACAACATGCCTGTGATGAATAATAATAAGCTTTATGAATATTCATCATATGAATACTCATTTTTGAGTGTGTCCCTTTCCCGTAGGAGGCCATTGCTGACTTGGAGGAAAAGTACAAGAAGGCTATGATGAACAATGCACAACTTGATAATGAGAAGGCGACCTTGATATTTGAGGTGGACATGTTGAAGGACCGTCAGGAGGAATTAGAAGAAGCTATGCTGGAAGTACAGAGGGAAGCTAGGGATAAACACAGGGTAGGTGAAGCTGGAACCTCATTGGTTAATGGTAGAATCTCATTATTAATGGGATTACCTAATTGTTTATAGTATCACCTCATTGTTAATGTTACTACTTGATTGGTTAATGGTCATTGGTAATGGTGTCACCTCATTGATTAACGGTACCACCTGATTGGTTATGATGCCGTCTCATTGGTCATGGTACCACCTCATTGGTTAATGGTAGGGATAAACATTGCGAAGCTGAAACCTCAATGATAATATACTTTCCCTGGTAATTGTGTAACCTTGTAGGTAATGATACAACTTTGTTGATAGCCTCTGCTGATAATGGAATAACCTCACTGGTAATGGTATAGTCTCATTGGTAATCATAGGACCTCAAACTGATCAGTGTGCAAGGCTATACAGGTAGTATTCACATTGGTTGTCAGAAACCAGTTAAAATTAAATAGGAACTTTTGTCCAGAGGTTGTAAATTTGTTTGTTGATTTGATCTGTCATAGGAACTAGAAAGCAAGAAGAGGGAAAACCTGTTACTGCAGAAGGAAGTGGATTCATTGAAGGAAATGGTGACACAAAGAGACACTCTGATAGCTGTGAGTACATGTATGGAATCCTGGTTGTATGAAGTGTGAAATGATGCTCTAAATCCACTGGTGACCAATCTATAACTAAGGGCGTTTTGATATTTCATGAATACTAACCCCAGTGAAAGGTAACATATTTTTAACAGAAGCTGCACAATAGTGGCGTCAGGTTTTGTTCCTGGTCAAGTTACATCTGAATCATTTCTTCTGTCAGGAACATGGTCTTCTCCTTGTGGGTGACGAGGAACGTCTATCAGACAAAGACCTGCCAGAGGGCCAGGCGTCCCACAAACCCAAACTTCCCAAAGTTGGCACCATCGTGGTAGTCTCGCCGGAGGCTGCCGAGCTCTTGGAGGTTGTTGGAGACGGGCCGCTAGATGTCCGGCTGAAACGATTTGTGGAGGAGAGGAAAGAACTTCTAGAAAAAGTAAGCCATTGGTTGAGTTATAGGTCCGAGTAGATTCATGTGAGGACTATTGTCATTTATTTTCTGCCTGAGTTGGCTAGAATTTAATTCCACTCTGAATGGATAGGAGTGGTCACTGGGCCGCCTTACAACTATCTGGCAGATGTTGTCTTAGAATTTCAAGCATCTCTGATATTGATGTTTCATTGCTGGGATACCGCTAACAGACATGATCCACTGCAATAGTTCAATTTTGAAGAGACAAGATTTTTTATCCCGGCAGGAATGAGGCATTTAGATTATAGATCCCAAGTACTCAGAAAATGTGTCTGACCAAAAGCATTAGCTTTTAAAATATCCGATGTGTTTAATCGCTCTTCCATTTCACAGATTAGGAGACTAGAAATCGATTTAGAAGATGAAAAAGACAAGGTTGCCACAGCGGAGAGAAGGCGACCAGCCCAAACGTCATCTGTCAATGGACCAGAAATAGATGTGCTAGATATCCAAAGTGAGTGCGAGTGATTGACAAATGTACAGGCACTGTGATACTTTATGCATTACTACTTGGCATCTTCTTCATTTGGCTTGTCTCCATGTTTATCTGTCGCAGGAGAAGCTAGTAGGCAAGTTAATGAATACAGATTCAAGTACCAGAAAGCAGAACAAGAGTTAGCGACTCTAGAAGGCCATGTAAGTAATCACTACACCTGGACCGGCACCTTTGAATGCTTGAAGATAAAGTAGGCCTTCTAAATGACGCTTATTTTGAAAAGAAAATGAACCTTGGATGCTGGTCTGCCATGATTTATTTTTGACTGGAAATGTTGGCATTTACTGTGAACATAAGCTGAATAGTCAGTGTTTTGAGACAAATTGTGAGGTACGCTCGACTCTAGTCGTAAAGTTACAATGACCAGACAAATTACCTTCTTGTAACCAGGACGTTGTAATGAAAAGAAGATTGGAAAAACAAAGAAAACACAAGATATCAAGAAATTGCTTTATATAACATTAATTTGGTTTTAACAGTGTTCTTTTCATTGAGAGTCTACTATATTTGGAGGTTGTCTCCATGTTGTACTTGGAAGAGCACCTCTAGGATTATCTGCAATTGCCAGGTTCGATTCCCACTCTGAACTGTTTACCATGTGTGTTCTGATTTTGTGTCTCACATGAAATTAAAGCCCAGCTATTTGCTGTTCCTGAATGCAACTGTACATTAGAAGCTGTCTTGACACCAAAGGAGAAATGTGAAAGATTGTTTTGGTAGTGAGTGTTGTTCAATGGCTTGGTTTTCCTGGGCAGGTCATGCGGCTAGAAGGTCAGGTGAAGCGATACAAGACGGCCGCAGACACGGCAGAGAGGGTGGAAGAGGAGTTGAAACAGGAACGACGCAAACTACAACGAGAGGTATGTGGACGTCTTGCAAGGTTACAGTGGTCCTGGTCAATTCAACTAAAGTTTGATTGGGTCCAGCGGCAAAAGGTTTTTGTCCCCAGTAATGTTGTAATATAACAGCAAGCAATTATCTCTTTGTGATGTTTGTTTGGTGTCGTGAAAATAACATAATTAAGACAAGACCTCATTCCATCATCATTCACTCATCGCCAGTTGGATCAGATGTTTTTCTATCCCTACCCGAATCTGCTTCGATTTCTTTGCCTCAGCTCCTCAATTTGTGACTTCTATACCCTCGATTTATTCTTCCAACTCAACAGATCCGCACTTTGAAAGACAAGAATGAAGAGTTTGAAACGGAGAATAGCCACCTGACCAAGCGATTGGAGAAAATGAAGAACGCCAAGCTAAGCTTGATCAAGTGACCCAACGGGACAGAGGAGCAGTCTTCGTAATCAACAACTATTCATTTAGTAGTAACAGTGCACAAATATTTCCTGTACTCCTAAAAATAGATTGTGTAAATTTGCATTTCTGATCATAGCGCCCTGTTGACTAAATATCTGGAGCGCCCTCTATTGGTCATTAGAAGTTGGCACTTCATCTGAAAACTCAAAAAACTTTGTGATGTACTGAAACGAAGGTCACTATCTCACAGCCTGCTGAACTTTCGCAAACAAAGTCAAAAGTTTCTTAACACTTGGCCAGTTTCAAACCGTTTTAGTGTTCAAAAACTTTTTACCTAGCTTTTTGTCACTGTCATAAGTCAGTTTTCAATCACCAATGATGGGAATGTTTCAGCCAACATTTTATAAAGCTACGCACGCTTTTCGGTTTGTTGGATTTTTCTTCTTTTTCTTTTTTTTTTAGAGATTCTTTGCTTTTGAGATTGACCAATATTGTAAATTATAAACCAAGTGTCAGTGGATTGTTTTCAGCAGTTGTACTATTCCAGACAAAAGTCTGGACTTTGGCTCTGACATATTCAAAAAGTCGGGCATCTTATCCAAACTCACATTTCGAAAGTTTGCAGTCACTTCAATATTTTTTATGGGGGGGGGGAATCGAAGGAAGTCGGTGAATGATGAAAGACGCTGCCCATATTACAACCACCATGTTAAGGACATCTACCCCGATAGACTTTGATAGTCCAAGAGATCAATTCTGCTTGAAGTGTTCACTTACACCTAGCTTCATTCTCTCGTGGTACATGTATGTAGATTTCAATTGGAGTAACAGCTTAAGTTGGCCTTAGTGTTTCAGAGTTGTTAAACATGCATCTGTACAGAATTTTTTTTAATCGTTTTATTATGCCTTGCCAAAAAACTAGCCTCTTTGTTTGGTTTAATGCATGATTATTTCAAACCTTCAAGACATCCATCTTTTTTTAGAAACTTGCATTGGTGTGTGGAATGTTCATGGTGTCCCAGAATCCAGGAAGTATGTACAAATTTAAAAAAAAAATTTCTTCAGAGGAATCCGAAATTGTAGAGGAATTCTGATGTTAGGCACAGCCGTCAGATTAAGCTTTTTTGCTTTTATAGAGCTGCAGGAAAAGCATTCATCTGCAAACCCAAGATGATGGGAACAAGGCCACTACATGCTGAAAATTAGTTCTTAAATATTCCATAGCTCATTTATTTGTACATGTAGCGTGTATTACAGAGGCAAAGATCAACATTTTTAGGACATCCATTTTGGGGTAGGCACACTGGGATTTGGTTGGAGAATGTCCAATGATTACATATCCTGAGTGAATATGCACTTCCAACTAGTGTTTTTGTAAAAGAAAAGTTTTTCCTGTAAAGACTTTCAAAGGGCTGTACCAGCCATTCAGATTTTGTTCTAAAATGCCACCAGTTTCTAGTATTTGGTTTGAAAAGGAATTGTCGCGCATACTTTTTTTTTAATGAACTTGGATATTTGCACATTATCTAGATTAGGTGAATGTTCTTATACTTCACTATGTGGGTGTTCACCAGAAGCTTTCTGCTGAAAAGATTAGAAATCGATGGAATTTTAATCCTGAAAAAAGTGTTTATTTCTATCATCCAACAAATTAAATTGAAAGATTGTCAACTAGAAAAAATAGGGACTATAGAGACCGTGTGTTTCTTTTTTGACTATTAAAAGAAAATGTACACGATGCATACCAATGTTGAACGGCTAATTCCACAAAATTGCATACTGTTTCTCATTTGCATGTAATGAATATTGATGATGTGCATACAGAGTGCTTATGGGTAATTTTGTTTCGAAATATTCCATCCTAAGGTTTAAGTATAAGGTCCGAACGCTTAATTTAACAAGAGCTCAGTAGCTCAGGAGGGTAGTGCCTGGGATTCTGATCCAGGGGTCCCTGGATCAAATCCCAGGGGTGCCCTGGTGGAAAAAGGATTTTTTTACTTTTTTCGCTCTATATTATAAGTTTTCTGACGAAAAAGAGCATGGGTGGGGATTGAACCCAGGACCCGATGAGTAGAAGTCCCATGCCTAAGCCTCTACCCAATCGGGGTTTTCTTGTTTGAAAGAAGGATTTTCGCACTTATAAACATTAGATTTGGAGATAGTCTCTGGAGAGAGCTGAATATTTCAGGGGTAAGGCAAGGGCCTTTGGAGTGGAGTTGGGTTGGTAGCATGGGGTATACATGTACCTTGGCAGGAAGGCAAGCTTGAGGGTTACTACAGTGTAAACTTGCCAGTAAGCCAACTGACTGATAAACATCTACCAAGAGTCTACCGTGTCCTGATCAAGTGAGAGTGAACCCTGAATATTCAGCTGTACAGGGAACTCCAGACTTCTTTGTCTTTTCGAGGCATTTCTTCCAAGTGCTTCCAAGACTATTGACTTCTTGGCATTATTTTGTTTGGGCAAACAGATTTGCATTTAAAGACCAGCACACAAGAACAAGATAATCACAATGCAAACATGTATAAGTTGCCATGCAATGGACTGGGAATTTATTTCCAACTTCAGGGAACCATGGGAAAAGTACATGTACATTTACATGAGTGTGCTTACATGTAACAAGAAGCACGTGTATAACTGTATCATCGTGAGTTGTTACCATTATTTACCTACATACACTGACATTGTAAGTGAGCAAATTAAGGAGAATTTCTCTGTAACCTGGGTCTTTGCATCCACTTATAAACACAATTTGTTCAACTCATATTTTGTACCTTTACATAGTGAAACTTTCTTTTTTTTTTAATGGCATCCAATGTCAGGTGAATAGTTTTGGGTCATCTAAACACACACATAAACAGTTCAAAGATCACGATATCTGGCCCTTGTTTGACACTACATGTTAAGCAATTTCAGTAAACACATTTACCCTTCACTAATGTTGTTGCATTGAAAAGTTTTTATGAGATGTAATCTTGGAGAAATCCAGTTACAATGTGCATGTGGCAATGGCAAATAGTTACAAACCCTGGCTGTAATCCTGAGCAACTAGTTGTATTAGCAACAAAACGGTGTTGAGGTCGAAGTTTGGTTTCTATGTCAAATTTGCTAGCTCAACATCTTGATCTACAGTTTGCTGTTTATGAGTATCTTGACTCTTATGTTGCAGGCAAAAAAAATGCCCTCAAACCTTACTTTGTTGGTGAGTCCATTCCACCAGTTTTCAAAATAGTTTCCACAAGAGACAAAGACTTTTTTTTTTACCAAAGTCTGTTTCTAAACACTGCAGATGGCAAAACTGGTTCTAGCACTAAGTTGTCATTGTTACAGAGGTCAACAAACTCTCTTATTCCTAAGGCACTGTCGGAATTGCAAGATTTTTTAAACCCATAAAAGGGTAGCCCAAAGCAAACTTTGGACGAGATTACTGTTTTTGTAGAATTTTTGTTGTAAATAGCTGGATGTAGGAATAAACTTGATATTTATTCACATAGTAGTCACTGTAAATTGTGAACTAGGTTAAAAAAATGCTTTCAGTTTGGTGAAACAAGTCACATTAATTGTTTAGCAATAAGTCCACCTGTATGTCTATGCATCTGCCACAGGTAAAGTACTTTTACTTTATTCTGCTTTTCAATGTAATGAATGCCGTGTTCTGCATGCATACATAGCCTTTGCGAGTTCCAAAGGCATGCTGTTTTATATTTGGTTGTGGCAGTATAGTTGAGTTTGGGAATACAGGTATACATTTTGCTTTGTCAGAAGTAAACATTATCTGCGTGTACATTCCATCAAGGTAATGTTTAGCTGTTCATTTACAACAGAAGCAATAGCATGGTTGGAGAAATGCTTAGAAGTGGTAGGAGTACCAGTTTGAAGTAGGGTTACCAGTGAATGTTGGTACTTTGGATAAAAGTCCTGCATAATTTTTATAGAATTACAAACAAATCCTACCAACATCAGGTTATATCTCAGACTTCCTCTGTGACACACTCTTTGGCTTTATGTAAACAAACCATTCCAGAATCTGGCACATGGAGTTGTTTGTTTTTCCAAACAATCTTCCCCAATGCAAGCTTTTCAATTCTGCAAACACCCAAATATCTTGTCTTTTCACCCACACATGGCTTCAACTTGCTCTTATTTCAACCGTAAACATGAGCTGTAAGAAAAATTGATTTGAATCAGACAGCTCAATTTTGGCCACATGGCTGAATTTTGCTGTAAATGAACATAGCTTACTAGGCACAATTGCTATTTTAACATTAATATGAGAGAATTCCAAGTAAATTATTAGAAATCAAAAACTTTTCTGTGACAGGTTTTTGTAAACAGGTACTGAATTTTTCTTGAGTAACAAAAAAAGGAGAATTTGTAAAAGCAACAAATGTGTCATGTTTTGAATGATTGTTTAAATAGTTTTGAAACTCCTGGAATGTTTTCCCAAAAGTGAAATTTAAAAGATTGAGACAGAATTAACGATGATTAAACCATGAGTTATGAGCGCCTGTCTTTTCTCTCATTTTTAAAAGTCTTTTGAAGACTTCCTAGGAAGATGTCACATGATGCGGAAGTTGAATTTTCTTTTTCACCACGAAATAATACTGGTATCCATATTCTAATATATTTCAGTAAACATCATTTCTTGATACTGCAAACTTTGTTCAAATTCAACGCATTAATATTTTCCAAGGATATAGCATTTAACCTATACCAGGCAAGATATGGGACGGAGGGGTACCCCCTTACATGTCCAATCCCAATACACACTCTAGACTATTGTTACCTAACACATCCCCCCTAGAAGTCTGTAAAGAATTCCTGAGATTCTGATCAAACAATGACCAACACCAAGGGGGGGTTCTCTCTGTCCCATATCTTGCTTCAAATGATTTCACCTAAACCGTGAATACATCAATACCTCATTTCTCAGAAAACTCTCAATCTCATCGCTTGCCTGGTTTATGCAACTTCTGTGGGATCCAAGCGCAGCAATCGTTGACCCCTGTTGAGATTAGTCAAAGCGTCCATGTCAGCCGACATCAGTGGCTCTAGATGGACCGAGGCCATATTGTCCTCGATGTGCTTCGCTGTTCCAGATTTTGGAAGAACTCCTTTGGTAAACACAAATGTGAAAGTTTTGAAAAGATGTTATCAACAGAGGAACTTTCAGGGGTTTAAATCGGGGCCCTTGAACCCTGAGGTAAAGGTTTTCTAGAATTTTATCGTTTGATATGTGTACAGATAAATTTGCTGAAAACTTCAGTGTAGTTCGAGGTCTGCTTTAACATGAAGTTTATCGAAATGAAAAAAGTTGATCAAAAATGAAAACCACTTTACCTCAAAGATACAATATTGGGCCCCTGCTTCAAGGAACAACTGATGGATCCCAGCAAAATTTTTCTCCACAGTGAAGGTCTGAGATGTTGAGCATATCTTCCTCTGTGAGCCAATTGTCACCATGCTCAAAGATGTCAATATTTTCAGCAATGTGATCTGGATTGGTCGATTGTGGGATTACGCCTGTGATATGATTAAGGCAAAATTTTTATCTTGGCATTTCAATCCAATAAGGATTTCTTTCGCATATTTCAAGAATTCAAAATGACATTTTCATAAAAATCTGAGAGGAATTTAATTAACTTCTGAGATCAATCTGACACACTTGACTGTTTCAAAAGGCAAAGAGACAAATAGAGACAAACTTCGAATAGCAAGCAGCTGCAAATGATGATCATGTCATGTTGATGTCATGTTGGTGTCATGTTGATGTCATGTTGATGTCATGTTGATGCCGTGTTGGTGTCGTATTGGTGTCGTGTTGATGTTATGTTGATGTCATGTTGATGTTATGTTGGTGTCATGTTGATGTCATGTTGGTGTCATGTTGGTGTCATGTTGGTGTCATGTTGGTGTCATGTTGATGTTATGTTGATGTTATGTTGGTGTCATGTTGATGTTATGTTGGTGTCATGTTGATGTCATGTTGATGTCGTGTTGGTGTCATGTTGGTGTCATGTTGGTGTCATGTTGATGTTATGTTGATGTTATGTTGATGTCATGTTGATGTTATGTTGATGTCATGTTGATGTTATGTTGATGTTTGTTGATAAGCAATAATTTATGTAGTAGGTTAATGTGACTGTCTCGTTAGTTTGCAGGAGAGGGACAAAATCTTGTTCTATTTACAGATTAGTTTAGCGAGCTGTCTGGAAGTCCACCTACCCAGGTCCTGCTGCAATGCCCACTGGAGTAGCACCTGAGCTGGAGTCTTGTTGGTCCGCTCTGCGATGGTCACTACCACAGGCTCCGATAATAGCTGTCGATTTCAAACAAAAAGAAACGATACATATTAAAGCAATAACTGACTATGGAAACACAAAGCTGTCCAACTCTTGAGATGACTTGTTTAAATTTCCACTGGTAAAATGATGGAGTTGGATCTGAACTTGTAGCCGTTGGATAACCCTTCATTCCCTGGCAGTATTTGTCAACAACAAACACGTAGACAGTGTCTACCTACCTTACTCTTTCCAAGTGACCTGTAGGTCTGCAGGTGTACGTTGTTAGCCTGGCACCATTGTAGCAGGTCTGTCTGAATGTAAAATGGATGATACTCCACCTGAGGACAAGTTGAAAGATTGAGTGAATGCATACAAATGTGCAATCAAAGAGTGGCTAAGAAAGCTTGATTTCGATCTCCAAAGTCCATATTTGTATCCCACCAGGTTGGACCTGCAGACTGGATTGCATTGTTTTGCCAGCCGTGGGTCTCCTGTAAATGTACTTCAAAATCTCCTCACACTTGTGACTTGTCACAACAAAATGAGAGTAAAGTTTTGCTATTTCCTATTTTGCGAGTTTAAAGTCATCTTGAAGTGGATGTCAATTTGGGGTTTTGTAATATTTGGAAGGAGTAACTCTTGTCCTATTTAATTCCAAATATTTCGCAGGATCATACATTTAAAAATGTCATTTCTCAGCAATTTTGATGACAGCATTATTCGTGCCTGGTCTGAAATATTGAAACGATGACGGGAAGAGACACAAAGCTGCCAGAATAATGTCACATTGCCACCGTATACTTTTACCCTAAGTGTTCGATGTACATACCACTGGAAACTCTGTTTTTGCTGAATTCAAATATACCATATCTCAATACCTGAGCATTCCTACTTTCAGCTCATTTTGTGGTGACAGGTCACAGTTAATCAACTCCAAAGGTTGAAATCACAAGGATGATACACAGACATCTTCTTTCTTTATCTCTACTGTTATCATGGTTTGAACTGCCAGTCTTTAACCCATGGTTCCCAGGTGAGGAGTTAGATTACTCTAATGATTATTTCCACTCTGTTCTTCATACTTGCAAGACAGCAGGTTGTATCGTGGTATAAGACGCCATCTCCTTCAGATGCTTGAGTGTGTAATTGGAGATACCGATATTCCTGACTTTACCTACAACAAACCAACAAACCCAACAATATTGGGGGTCATACAATACATTCTTTGAATTCCAGTTTTCAATTTCCATTATTTGTCATCGTTTTGCTAGAAATTATATACCTTCTTTGTACAGTTTTTCCAGAGCTGTCCACGAGTCTTTGCGGAAGCCAGCGTGTCTTGGGTCATCTGATTTGATCTTGGATTTGGCTGGCCAGTGGATGATGTAAAGATCCAAGTAATCTGTCTGCAGCTTCTCCAAGGATGCCAGACACGCTGAGTAAGCCTCCTCTAAACCATGGTCTTTGGTGTCTGAACATAAAAGGAAGAAGCTGAAGTTAGGGGATGGTCAAGCAGTCAAGGACTGAGGAACATAATTTCAACTTAATGATATTTTAGGGGTATTAAACTTTTATTTATAACACATTCTAAAACTCCATGCAGTAACAGTCATCAAACCCAAAGAACTGACAAGATTACTACTGACAGGCTGAAGATTTCATGACAAGAGGTCCGATGTCTTTAAAGGGCATATTGCCTGATTTCATCTTTATACATGTAGGTTGGCGTGATACAAAAATCCACTTGTACTATTGAGGCTTATTTTGGTGTTGCTCGTTTGTGGTCACTATATATCAGAACATTTTAATGACTAAAATTATAATACTTCCTCCAGATTTGAATTTGGTTGGGACACACTTATGACTTCTGAATGTTGCCAATGCTTTGACCTTTGACCTCTCACCAAGTTTGGTCTCCAGGAACAAGTCGTCTCGGCTCAAGCCATGTTTAGGTAAAAGCTCCCTCAAGCAATCCCCAATGTCCTTCTCATTCTTGTAGACGGCTGCGGTGTCTGAGGGGAAGAAAGAACCGAGTTTTCTGTGGTCTTTTGCCTAGCACAAACACGACTAGTGGCACACTGAGGGAAGGCCTCAGGGGGCTTGTATGATCCCCCAAAGAGATCTTCAATTTTTGTTGTTGATAAATGGAGGCAAAATACACACCTACATCTTAAACCACAAGCTATGATATAGCCGTACATCCTAGTAAAGTCCCCTGAGGCATAACGGAAGGGGGGAAGGGAGGGGACATGAGTATCGACAAGCACCAGTGAACACAACCATGACACTGGACATTTCTAACCTCTGTGAAACAAAAAGTCACACTCTTTGGATCTGCGTATGATGAGAAATTTTACTTCCAAAACTTGAAACTTTTACAATCCTTACACTTACAGAAGTAGAGAAGGGTCTGGATTGACTGCTCATTAGAAACTGACAGATATTTAGCTGCACCAAATGATTTTGTTCTCCTGCTTTAACCGTCTCAATACAGCTTCAACGGAGAGTGGTGCCCTGGCGTCTCTTCTTTAGTGCCTCATGAGACGAGGAGGATGTAATCTCGGTTAAAGCTTGACAATGAAGTTCAGATATGTCGTTTAATCTGCCCAAAAGTCATGCAAGTAGGGACACACTTTTTTAACCAAATTCAATGTAGTAAATCAGAAGGTTTGTCACCAAATTTAATGTTTAACATCATGAACTGAACTTTTAATTCTCTCACCTATTAATCTATAGCCTGACTTGAGTGCAGCATCGAGGGCGTTGTACAAAACATCATGGCCAACCAATCCGTAAGTTCCTACTTTAAGTATACATGTTCAATACAAACATAACAAATTAGGTGATTTTAATTTCTGCACTTCTTTAAAAAGGCTCCATCATAAAATGAAAAAAAAATTGGTTTTTATTCAGAACTGTTGGGCATGTCGGGGGAGAGGCCACCATGAATTTTACTTTCAAGCAATCCCCTACATTATATATCATGCATATTATGCCCAGCTGTTCACAACAGATCTTAGTTATATGATGACAATGGACTGATGTTATTCATCGGCAAAACCTGCAACAAACATCATTATTCCCCCCCCCACAAAAACAAAACTCATGATCCTGCTGATATGAACGTCATATTTGTTGGCCCAGTTGCAATGGTTAGGGCATGATAAGACCTAGGCTTACCGACATAACATAAGCGTTACTGCTAGTGCTAGTAATCAAGCACTGCTAATTTGGCACAACTGTGGAAAGGCATTGTGGGAAGGGAAATTATTCCTTCCCATGATGCTTAATTATGCAAAATCTCTCTTGCAGTATTTCACCGTTAACGTTAGCGATAAGGCTGTGATGATCGAATTAGCGAGACAGGCCTCACCAACACCATGGAGGATTCCTCCATGCCTAGACCCGTAAACAGGGCCCTAACTTCCGTTATACCATGGAGGAAGGACCTTCCTCCAGCTCCATGGTTATACACTGATAGATCGACAAAGGAACCCTGTTTACGGGTCTAGGCCTGATCATGTAGGCCTAGTATACCATAATTACGAGGCATAGGCCCCTATTATTATGCGAACCGCGGCGGTACGGTATGTTAAGGCATGGTTGAGGTTAGCCCCACTAGTGTTGCACGGATCACTCCCGATTTATTACGGATAAATTGGGAGTGATCCGTGCCACACTAGTAGTGGGGCTAGGTTGAGGTAAACTTAAAAGAATTTTAAAAACCAAACTAGACCTAGGCCTATACTCACAGCCAAACAGTGGCATCTTTATTCCAGTGTTGAGCTCTGTAAACTTCATGGTGAACACGATTGTTTTCGTTGGGTATTCAGGCCAGAAATCTCAATATATTCATAAATATAGGCCCTATTAACTATTATCATCATCACTTCACGCTGTTCGTGCTTGTCTAGCTGACCGATATTTCACGCGCGCTTACGGCGCCTCCATACAACGCATGGATTCTACACCTGGTATATGTAGGCCAGAACGCATTCACGAGGAGAGTAAAATACGGAGCCACAGAACGGCCGTTATTCACACATTATCTGCCCATCCACTTTCAAAAAAAAAAGGAAAATAAAACGCAAACACAAGGAAAATCACCTTTTAATTTTCTGCATACATGACTCAATATCTTATTATAAATTAGACACACCATCGCTAATAAAATCTTCCGTTGTAAACTTGCAAAACAAACCTATATTTTACAGGTACAATAAAGAAATCGCTCTCAATAGAACACCCGTCAACAAACACACATAGCATAAAGCATAGAAATATGCGATCATTTGAGCTTTAACAGAAAATCTCTTACAATACATGCATCTTGCTGCTTTTTGTCCCAGCAATCATGAACTGGATTTGGCCAACCCAAACCTTCAGATCACTGTAATCTGCCCCTCCAAATATTGTGGAGAAAATTACACCCGTTGAAAAAAGTAGTCACAAAAAAGGTTGCTACAGTAACTGACTTCAAACTAAAGTAAAAGAAATCTAGATGTTCTAGAAATCTATTCATCATAAATGTTTAAAATCCTGGTAACGTGAAAAAGGAAGGAAAACTGCTGTAGTCAGGGTGAATGATCTTCAAATATTTAAGGAACAATTTGATGTTATTACATGTTTTATACTGCCACTTCATTCCTCGCTTAGTAATTTTCTATATTCCCAATCGTAATTATAAAATATAATTTTACATGAAAATAAAAACACTCCAAAACTGATGAGCGTGCCATGAAGACCTCAGCTTTGTCTCTGATATTAGTGTTACATCTAATCGATTTCTTGATGTTTGTTTCTCTGTTAACTAGTTTTATTCTGTCCAGTGGACACATCACAACTTTCCAGGGGCTGTGATGACACCCATGGCACAGTGGAAGCCAAAGTTTGGACAATGGCTCAAGACTCTAATTGATATCTACAAAGTATTTGTTTCAAATCTTTATCTGCCTTATTTCATTCCTTCATCAAAACGGGAACAGTATGACACTTTCTCTTTTTATTTCTGCTGAATGATCCTCTTTCTCAGGGCAACGACATCAGCCATCAGGTTGCGACTCAGAATCTTACTGCAACTAATCAGTCCAGAGAAGGCTGCACCTACAAAGCCACAGGTCATCACGTCTTGGCCTGGACACAAAAGATGAAAACCCAAACAAGTTATCAAAGTGATGAACATGGGGTCCATTGTGCTACTGTAAATTTGACACAGAGATAAAAAGAACAAGTGGTATGTTTAAACCAGCCCAAAATGGTCCTTTTGAGCAATTAATAACCCGAGCACAGCAAGCACTAAGGTTCCAACACACCCTCTGCAGAAACAAGGCAAAAGTACATGATGACACCAGATACCAAACAAATAATCTAGCAAGTTGCATGTTATAATGGCCATGAGCAAAATAATAATTTCTAAACAAAGAAACAGTTCTGATTTCTGAGCTTCAGGAGCCTCTGGGCTTCCTGTTTTGTCTCACCGGTCAGATAGAGATTAGGAATGTCAGTCTCTGGACGCAATGTGTGCCAAGTCTGGGTGCTGAAGCGTTCCTTGTTGTGGTCCAAGCCGTAAATTTCTCCCTTCATGGCTTCGATGTAGTATTTGTTGGTGACTGGACTACCGACACTGAAGTAATCAACCTGTTTGGTGGGAAACATTTTTACTTCAGCCAATCAAGATTTTTCCTTGTGATATAAACCCAATATTGCATTGCATCCTCTGTGCTGCACATATGGTTGAAACCTTGAACTTCCTGCTGACAGTACTTTGTGAGTACTGGGCAGTATTGGAATACTTTGGGCAGAGATTGGAACAACCAAACTTCAGCTCACAAAGCAGCCTTCTGACAGTCTGAGCTATGCAAACCGATCAGCCAGGGGGGTCTTTGAGATGCTTTAGTATAGAATAGAGGGCTTGCATGGCTGCCATCTTACAGGCCAGTGCTTTGTTCCACAGGGTAGGCACAAAGGAAGTTTCCCTATGGATCAAAAGGAACTGCCCTGCAAGATGGCTACCACAAAAAGCTTCTATAAAGCTCTTTACAGACCTTACTGATAATGCTCAATGGAGAGTGCAATGGGTGCACTGAACAGCACTAGTAAATTATTTCACAACTGACCATATTTTGTCAGGTAAATCACTCCAGGTTGAAAGAATTCAGTTATCTGACCCATAACAGGACTCTGATTAGGGTTAGTAAACTGTTGAGTAGACATGTAAGACAGCACTTGAGTGTGACACTAATTGTAGTGTCCTTGAAATTGTCACTGTCATAGTTGTCATCACTGTCATTAATGTCACACCGTAGGTGAGTCAGATGTCAGACTGACCTTGTCTCTCAGCTGTGGATAGAGATTGAGGCATTGTTCCCACATCTTTTCGCCGATGGCGTCTTTGATCCTATCGTATTCCTCACCACGCTTGCCCGTTCTGCCATTTTCCCACTTGGAGAACCATTCCCAGTTGGCCAGGGTCACCATGGTACATGTGGACTTGCCTGGATGGGAATAAAGCCCCCACCAAAAAGGGAAACATTTGTGAAAAGGTGTACAACATTTGGCTGCTTGGAAAACCATATTTCATATGAAACATATTTCATCGGAAGTCACTACAAACCAGGTCTACAGGAAATCCATTTCTGTTTGACAAAAATAAAATGAACAGAAACAGGATTTGAACCAGGGACGTCTCGAATAACATACAGAGGCAACATCAACTCAGCCATTCATTCTGTAAGTGTCCTCAGTAAATGTCTTTGTTCAGGGATATCTCTTAGAAGCTAGTTAAATAGGAATCAGAATTGCCATAGCAACACCAGAGGTTACAGTTGAGAGTCCAGTCAAAGAAAATTTCTGTCAACCATAACTGATCAAAAGAAAACCATGTTATAAATACTCCCATTTGTCTGACACATTCTCACTTTATTTGACATCAGAACATTGACGAACCTGATCAAGTTTGTAAAGCGAAAATGCACACATCACAAGTTTTGACAGACCTGGGTAACGCTCAGGCCAGCTTGGGTCCTTAGCTGATGGAAAGGTGATGAAGAGTAGTGGGATATCGTCCTTGCCTGACTCCTCAGCACTTCGGTTCATGTACTCCTCCATATTCTTGTCATGATCACTGCCTGTGAAGGCCCAGACTTGACCCGCTGGTAGTCCAAGCTCTTCCTTGGTTCCCTTCAGGCCCACAAAGACCGACATGGCACCCACGCCATGCTGGACACCAGTGTGACGCTTCTCAATGGCTGCAAGAAAGGTAACAATTGTTCAGATGAAATTATCAGCTGTTCCATCCCGTCCCTGAACTGTGTCCCATTGATGATTCAATTAAGATTTACTCCCCTGAGCAATCCTCCAAAATTCTTTACACTGCAGGAAAATGACACCACATTTCTTGTACTTAAACAATATCACAGGGCAAAGGCCCATGAAAAACAGAGTAAGGTCTCTACCTTCCTTAATCCTACGACATCTAATAAATCCTCAAGAACATCCAATGGATTTAAAAGATCTGGGAAAAAATAAGGTTCACATTGAAAGCAAAGCTTCACAGAAAACAAAAATTGATAACATTAAGACTCCATGCCTAATCTCACACAATCTGCGTATTTACCACAAGATATGTTTACTTTATTGTGCATGGGATTCAAGTACCCACGTTTTTGAACAACAGGATTCGTAGGGGGTAGCAGCCTCTGGAAGGTATTGTACACCCCAGCAGCTGATATAATCATCGGAGCATGGATGTCAATGTCACCAGAGGTCTTCTTGACTCTTACACCTGGTGACAAAAAATAACAACACTCTATCAATTTTCGAATTTTTTGGCTTTCCAAAAAAAAACAAGTTCAGCCCCCTGAAAATTGGCTTTAGATCTGCCCTTTAACACAAAACACAATGCTAGATTCAGGTTGCTTGATGAAACATTGAACTGTAATGGGTATGCATCTCATCCACCACCCCAAAAGAAGGAACTATTCCCTGGACACTTGCAACTCACCGCAGGCTTTGCCCTTGCTATCCAGCAAGATCTGTGTCACTGGTGCACGGACCAGTACCTTGCCTCCAGAGCGTTCGATGGTTGGAATGATATGATAGGCGATTTCACTGGCGCCCCCTACGGGGAAAAAGGTGCCTTTCATGAAGTGGTTAACCAGCAAACAGTGCATAACAAAACTGCTCTTGGATGGCGGTGTACCTGCGGTAGAGTAAAGATAAAGTCCTTTCAGATAATCAGTTTCAAGACCATTTCATCAATACGACCAGGAGCTCGCAAATCAAGGGTAAAAGCATTTGACCTCATTGTGAAGATTATGAAGATCACAAAAGCATGGATTGATTTTGCTTGAGTCATGTTGACACAACTCTTTGATGAATCAGAATTTTACAATTCGGAACAGAATTAGATGTATTTGACAAGTGACTGACTTTTTGCCAAATCTCACCATAGTCTCCAAAATTATATGACAGAACTGCCTTGAGGTCTTCGTTGTCAGTAAGATCATCCAGGACCTCTTTCAAAGAACGATGAGCATAGGAGTAGAACGAAGAAATGAAGTTGATGATGCCGTATTGAATCAGGAAGTTACAAACATTCCTAGGGATCAGCTTCATAGCACCTGCTATCAAAGACTGACGCTTCACGGTCTGAAATTAGTAAAAAAAAAAGGATTTTGATAATAAACGACTCTTTTGTTGTTATAAGCTTTGAGGCAAACTACACAATGACCTTTCCAGTAACATGGCAGAAATCAATTACATATGCTCTAAGTTATTTATCATTTACATTTAATAAAGTCTTTGCATATTTTCTTACAATGCAACAATGTGGTCCAGTGAAATACAATATTACAATAACCAAGGTAAACAAGGAATTCCTTCAAGATGTATAAAAAAGACATAGTTCATTAATGATTGGCCTACCATTTATTGTATACAGCCACTTTGTAATTATGACAAATGAAACTGCATAAGAAATATAAAAAAATTAAACCACAAGAACATATTGCTAAGTTTGACCCCCCAAAATGACTGGATGTAGCTCCGTTTGATACAGTGTTTGGGAATTTCTTCGGCCTACTCGCAATAACTTCATGAATTTGTTGATAGCCTTCTCCTCTCCTGGGAAACTCTCCAGCAGGGCCCGGCGGTACTGGTCCTTGGGTCCCGCCTTGATTGGATATTGCCTTTGCTTGCCCTCCTGACCTATGACCACAGTGTCAAAGGTCTCATCCAGGGGGTACCACTGTAGCTGACCGTCAGTGAGCTGGTCAATGAAGACTTTGGAGATGGTGTTGTTGGTCATCTCACCAATGTAGTGAATACCTCAATATGAAATTAAAATAAACTCATGTTCAAACTTCAAACTTCAGGTGGTAGGGTAGAGAGATGCTCGTAGGAACTAGGCCATATTGTATCAGGTGAATACAAGCATCATCGGGCATCCACATTAGTACTGCCTGGTTCATCAGATTAGATTTAATATCAAATTTCCAATCGCAGCATTAAAAATTTGCCAAGGTTAAAAAGCTGTTGATTCATCTGATGGGTCTGTTCGTGGCTATCTTACCGACATCAAACTCATAGCCCTTCTCTCTGAAGATGTGACAGCAACCTCCAGCCTGGTCATGTTGCTCTAGGACAAGGACCTTCTTTCCGATGCGGGACAGGACAGAGGCTGTGGTCAGTCCACCCATCCCGCTGCCAATCACAATAGCATCCAGACCCTCCGGAATCTTCTGAGCAGTGAATCCTAGGATATGTGATGGTTTTTTTGTTTTCTTCAAACTTACATACAGGTATAAGGGGAAAAATCTGTGGACTAGGAAGTTTGTCAAAATGATTTCAAGAACGATAGTGGGGCCCTTTTTTAAAAACACTGAGCAAACCAGCTCATTTCAAGACAACTCTCAACAAAAAAAGGAAATGTATCAAAGAACTCCACAGCAGAGAGTACATGTATTTTGCTGCCTGTTTTTTTCTGTATGTGTATTCTCACAACTCACCCTGCTTGAGTACTTTATCTTTAACTGCATGGTCAGTCTCTAACGGCTGTGGAGGTCGTCTGGTGTCCTTGGCAAATGGGTTGGGAGAATTTGAGGTGATCATCAATTTGTTGAGGATCTTGTTGAGTAGGTAGATGAAAGTTAAAGTGAGACAGACCAGGCCAACCAAGGTGGAGTTGGCTGATATAAAACTGATTACACTCTCCAGAAGAACCATGATGGAAGCTCAATGGACGCAGGTCTGTAAAAAGCTTCAAATAAAAATGACAAAGAAGAAGTACTAAATTCACACAATAATGTTATCTGTACTTCTCGGTACATTTGGAATTAAACATTGCATTTAAAAGCCTGGAAATGTGAGATCCAAAGGCAGATGTAGTGACACAATTAATGAGGTCAAAAAATTCCATTGTCTCTGCAACATCGGCACTGACATAATTAATATTTCATTCCTCAAATATAAACAAAATGTCTTTACTGTCACAATGTTTCATCCAGGCCTAACAAGGACATCTACTCAGCAAAGTTCACCTCTTGAGGGCAATGTTTTTTAACAGACTGATGGAAACTTTGACATTGGACAATATTCCCGGAGAAACAAGGACTCAAGCAATACCGAACTATGCCTCTTTCATAACCAAACAATTCAACGCTATTCATGATCTGCTGATTGTACTTTTTACAGCCCTTACACCAACTAAAAACAAGAAGAAGCAAGTCCTAAAAGCAACATGTACACGTAACTAACCTGCAGTCAGTAGACAACGATGGTGGTCTTAAATGAATAATGATAACAGGTGTGTGCGCACCTAAACCTAAAGCTTGTCTGTTGGTGTTAGGTCCTGAATTTGCCCACCATGATAGGCTCAGGCTACCCTGACGATTGGCAACTCTACCTGCTGTTTTGTACACCCTTCAATGCGTGTTAACCTTCTTCTTATATAAATCACGAGCTCAGTTAGTTCAACATAAGCCTAAGGGGACATCTGTCCTCTTACCTTTCACCAAAATCAAAAATGAAGCTAACGTCTACTTCAGATAACAAATTACAGTACTACTGATTGGTAAAGATCGTTGACTGGCTGATCATAGAGTCAGGCCACAGGCCTAGTCAGACCACTGGGCCGGCCACACGGCCAACGCATGGTCACTGTATCGCGTGCGGTACGGGTCACGCGGCGAAGGATAATTAATTGCTGAGAACTGCGCATGTACATGTACATGTACAGTACAGCACGCTAGCAGTAGACGATGCACAGCGAATTCCGAGGCCGTTTTCCAATACTCAATTCGGCTCCGTTCAGGCATGGAGGTAGAATCACATGTGATTCTACCTCCGTGGTTCAGGCTTCAACTATTTTTTTACTAGCTGACTTTGAAGCTGTAATCAGTCCAATAGCGCCAGTGCCAAAAATTACAGTAATCCAATATAATTTAAACGCTTCAGGCACACAATTGGGGATTGGTTTTGGGAATGAAGCCTGAGACGGAGACGAAGTTGAGTATTGGAAAACGGCCCAAGTTATAAAAATAGCGATCCAAACTTAGCACCGTTTTCTAAAAGATGAAGATTTTTTTCTTTTACAAAAGACGGTACCAATGAAACACAAATAACACAACATTTTGATGGACATTTTAAAGTTGAATTTTACTGGCAATGATAAAAAAGAGAATTTACAATGACCCTTTCTGAAGCTTAGCTAGAAAAATTTAACATCGTCATCTTCAACTTCAGATTTTTATTCCCAAATCCCTTTTCATGGAAATAAATAACACCATAAGATCAAACAATAACAGATGTCTTTCGTACACGTTTCATTCGAATGCATATTTACGAAGGAAACAAAACATGCACTGCCCTTTTCAGTTAAAATTGTGTCTTGTCACGCCCTCATGAGGAGCACATTATCTTCCAAGCCAATTTGATCGGTTTAGTTGCCGACTGAACAAGTAGGGCCTACTAATTGTTTACTGTGCGCACAGCTCTTCGACGGTCATAAATGCACATTATATTCACAACCATCGCAAGAATAATAAACATACTTGCTGGCGATAGTATAATGGGTTATTTAACTAGTTGTTAAACATTAACACGTTAATTTAACCAAAAATGTCTTACCATCGGATATACCAGTACTCCTAAAACTAACTGAAAAGAACGTTAAGTTTTGCAGTTGAACACCACCATGTATATGTGTATATAATTACATTTTTATAAAAAGCTTGCCATTAACTTTCAAAATCAGACATAAAATTTAAAATTAGGGAGAATGAAATACTAATTTCTCGAAAAAATGTGTCGAAAAAGATTCAAGTTCGGATGAAATTGTAAAGCAGTTTCCAAGTCTTAACGTAAGATTAAGCTCCATTAAATTGTAGTCAGTATTTTACATCATATTCACAATTTGAATGTAACAATAATTAATAAATATTCAGCAGTCTTGTCGATTTTTTAAATTTAAGTCTCTGTTTCAATTCTCCTTCGTTTTCAACAGTTGAAAGGTGAGCGTCATGACGAAAGCGCCCTCAAGCAACCTCAAGTGTGAAACAGCGCCTTCGTTTGTTCCTGCACGAACTAGACAAGATGTCTATATTGTCAGTGAGTCCAACCGTTGAATGCATCGCAGTGTGTGCAGCGGAGCCGTGCAGAGAGGAAGCCTCTACAAGTAAGTTTCTAGTTCCTCGAAGGACACGCTCTTCCGAATGTTATCACCGGATATCTGCCTGTAGAACCGTTTCAAGTAAGGATCGGCCGACATACCAGCGCTGATCGTGTTCTGCAGCCGACGCTTCTTGTAGACAGACGTACGGGAGCTAGATTGAAATATGCATTGCCAAGATAAAACGACAAAACTTATACTAATATTGTATTTTTCAATGAAGTTTAAAAACGGACAATTAACATATTTCCAAAGACACAGAGCAGTGAGATATCTTTCCGTGAACAGTTTCTGCCTATGAGGCATTTCGGTATTCCAACAACGCATGCCTAAACTGAACAGCGTTCAATTTGGGAACAGGAGCACGCGTGCGCGACGATCTGACGAAACTGCGCGGCCGTACGCTAACTCATGCGCGCACCTTGCTCCCAACTGACCTTGCCTTGTTGAAATACCGAACTGGCTCATATAGATCGCATTTCCCCAAATCCCTCGCGATTCTTCATCTTGATATTAGGTCTAGTCCGATTGGAAATGGCTTCCCGCATTTTTGCCATTTTGGCTACACAGTCAGGCTGCCTAACAAGTCAATCTATAGTCCTGTTATCAAGATGGCAAAACGAAGAGGTTGGTATAAAGTGAGTTACGTCACTGCAAACAATTTATACTAAATCCAGTAAAGGTTGAAAGCCTTTGATTATTCTGACATTGATATGGTGAGGCAACAAGGGCCGTAAGTGCAAGAGCCGCAACGATAGTCGCAGCTACATCACACCTTCACCCAATACAGCACCTACAGATGGGAATATAACAGCGTCCTACCTAACCATCTCTACAGCATCTTTAAGGAGAAGCAGCTCCGCGTGCACTTTGTCCTTACGCTTGACACGAACTCGCATCATCTTCTCCTGCCACAGATATCGCTGTACCAGTTTCCTCACAATGTTCTGCGGTAGAAAAACGAATGATATGCAAGTCAGTTCTAACGTTGTCACGAAAGTTTAGGCTCGGTACAGACAGGTATACAGGTTTCTTTTCCGTCTGGATTTGTGTATAGTTGCTAGTTATGCGGACGTTTCCTCATGGTCACAATTATCCGAACCGATAGCACTCTGCAAAGCTGCCACCTCCTTTGGCTCAAAGTTCTGCCCTGATTTCATACCTGATAGCCATCATGCTGAAAGTTCCTCAAAGCTTCTTTCCTCTGTTAGCAAGAGATACAAAGAGAAAAGAAAGGAAAATTACAGGACAGTGATTATCATGTAGTGCGTGGTTTCATGTTTCTTCTACTGTTTGAATGAATGATGTAAGATTAGTTACAAGTAGGCTATGCCTAACAGAAAGAACATTTTGTTTATGTAAACCTGGTACTGCAAGTGCTTGAAATTGAGTTGAGCCTACCACTTTCTGTCAGAGGAGTCGGCACTAATCTATCCCAACCTAACCTGATGTTTTGGACGTGAGCCCCTGTTGAAATGCGCCAAGCGTTGGATCAGTCTGAGAACGCTTCTCATAGACGGGATGATGTTGAGAGGTGGTGGTATAGTGGCGCTCTCTGAGAGATACTCCGTCATCAACCGTGTCCGGGCAACCTTCCATTCCACGTCGGAATTTTCCTTCACAGAACACACAACGAAGTTGTTTTCTCATTGTGTGTTTACCCAGTCACAAAGTCATTGATCAGAAAACCAGGCCAGCATACGCGAACACATTAAGGTAAAATAATGCCGGTGATTGCGTACCCACCTCAACACGGGTGTATGTGTTGCTCATCATAGCGATAAGGGCGTTCAAAAGTACGACCACGCCCACCAAAGAGTAAGCAGCGTACAGGATGGTACCCACGACCTGAGAAAATCCTAAGTCGGCGTTCATTTTTAGGTTGTCGAGATTCATCAAGTCAAAAAGAGACCAGAATAAAGTCTCAATCGAGTTCCACAAGCTGGAAAAAATATCATGAGGATGTCCGTTATTCACTCAGTAAACATATTTTGACCCTAAAAGAGCCGGGCGCGGACTCGTCGACATTATTCTGACATCACCACAGGAGTGGAACCTTTTGGAGTTTTTAGAGTTTCTCTTTGCAATCATTTTGACACTAGTTTTGCGAGCATCGAACATGCTATTCTTGCGCAGCGCGCATTTTTCCGAGACTGGTCAGCCCAAAATGTACACCGATTCTTTTTCCACTGCGGTGCTCGATGCACTCGGGCTAGCATACATGTAGCCTAGAACTTCAAATCGGACCGTAACAACAAAAGCATTGTGTGTGATTGAATTCAAACTTCACATTTTGTAATGATAAGGAGTGTCTTTAGGCCTACATGCCAAGTTTTAAAGACTCGAGCAAAGCACAACCGAGTTCTTGGCGATGGGCCAAAATAACCCGGCTCTTTTAGCGTAAAAAATAGAATAAGAAGGTCAAAATAACGTTATAGACTTATACAATACATTTATAATACCAAAGCCGTATCCAGCAATAATGAACCTTATAGCCGCATCCAAAACGGATGTCCAGACCAACACGACTATGTCTATGTCAGCATTATGCTCACGTATTGGCATCTGCCAAAGACCTGTCGGTGTATCCAAAAGATCTGGACGCAGCCTACCTTCCGAAGGCATGATCCTCACACTCTCCCTCGCACGTTTCTTGCCTGACCATCTCGTAAGTTCGGAAGATCTGGGTCATTCCCAGCGAGAAGGCCAGCCCCACGATGCTGAAAAGCAGCAAGAACCTGCCGATGTCTCGGGCCATGCCGCCCATGGAAATGTGGAGTGGTCCGACGAAGCTCATGGCTACCATAGCGTTAAGCAGACCCAGCTGGGTTAACACGTTAGCGATGGCAAAGGCAGCTTCTGCGATGAACAGCGGGTCGTGTGGGGACAATATCACCTTAGGAGGTCCGGATCCGGAGGGACTTCCGCCTGTCGTGGAGTTGTTGATACATCTTGCTGGTACACTATCCCCTGGAAACAGCCTGAAGTGGAATGTAAGTTGAATTTTAGACTTTTTAAATGTTTTTAAGCAATTTCATATTTCAGCACGGGGAACTCGGAGTCGGTCTACCATTATGCATTCAATGAAATGTTTGATTAATAGATAGGTCCATATTTATCCAGGATTTAGAAAACTGTATATGTCCAACTCACTGGTTCAGAGTTTCACAGCGTTGAATTCTACGTTGTTCTTTGCCTCCGTCTGACTCTAACACGTGGAAAGTGTAGTCCACCTGTGATAAAAATAGCAATAAATACTGGATCAAAAGATGTCAAACAATGAAAAAAAGGTTCTCCAATGGATTAACGGTCGATAGCCTCTCTTAACTTTACTTTTCCTTTACACCAAAAGTATTATCGGATTTGTCGACACTGCTGTCGACACTGATACCAACGCTGATGAGCTCATGTTTATAAATTGCTGACCTTTATGTACGACACAACGCTGAGGGCAATGTAAATCCAGTAGAACATCAACTGCACGGTATGAACCATGTTCCAGCCGTTTTTTACATAAAGGCGAATTCCACGCCGCCATACTCCTTTCATCTCTCTCCACGTCATCCCTAGCAACGGAAACAGAGACAGCAGACAGAGAGTGAGACACGTGTAAACAATAATCCGAGTGCAAACACAGATCAGACAGACGAAAGACGAAGATACCAGGTTGAACAAAACCTTATAAACATGTGGGGTGCTGGCCTCTTTCGCCGGCTGCATTAATTTGAATAATGACTGTGTGTAGGCCAATACAGATTTATCATCTTACCGATAATCCAAAAGAAGATAATCCAAGGCACAGCCTGGTTCAACTGCCATTCGTCATGTACACGGTACGACATTACTGTCGATCCGTCTACCGAGCTCTTGATGACTTCCAGATGGTGTCCGGTCACCGATGTAAAAAGGAGCAGTACCAGGAAGGTGAGACGGGATCCGGCGTGCAGCAAGAATCGAACGTAACTATACAAGTACGGATAACAAAATGTGGCGGATTTTTCCTATTTCAAAGTCTTTTAGCTATGAGAACCTAACTGTGACATATTTTGCACGCAGCCAGAAACGTTGAAGACTGATAGGCCAAACTCTCGTGCACGAGCCTCAGCACGAGACAGAGTTTGAATCAACTGTCTTTGGCCAGGCTGAATGTAAGGTGCATTGTATCGACACATATTAGCCGCTAATAGTAACTTCCATACGTGCACGTGTTAATGCTAGCCACAACAAACGCCTCCCATGTGCAGTAAGTCGTTTCAAACATCCCACGAATTGATCTACCATGTAGACTTATAGATTAACTTTCGTTTTGATAAGTTACAGTTAACGAGGAACACGTTGAGGTGTTCCATTCACTCACGGCGTGCGGATGAAATTCGACATTTTGCCCCAAGGAGTGAAGATGTAAAAGAGACAGAGGAAAGGCCACGCGACCATGATGAGGCTGGACATGCTGGCCATTCTAACGGAGGTCATTTTCCGCCATGTTTCATCCGAGCCGCTGTACCAACGGGACAACATGTAGTCCTGGCATGTTGAGTGAGCGACAAACTGCGTTATAACCAGAGAAAGATTTAACTGCAGGGTATATTCTGTCGGCTGGATCTACAGTTTTCAAACAAACCTCATTACTTAGGCATCTGTACCGAAGGAATGACTGACCATTATCAGTTCAAGACCAGATGGCCATAACTTTTTTTGGGGGGGGGGGTAATCACATCAGTAATAAACAAACAGTAGCATACCCGTTTGAAATCGAACTTGATAGCTTCTTGTAGTCTGACGGGCAGTGCATGGCGCGTGGCGAAGATTTCCGTGTTTGGATCGGCCACAAATCGCTGCGCTCCTAATACGGCCTCAATCTCGTCGAGATTACGAGCGAAGCCCAGGAGACGTGTCACAAACTGCTCCAGGTTGGCTGACAACTCTTCGTACTCTTCCTGTGTGGTAAAGACATGTTGACAATGATACGCAAAAAGGAAGACAAGATAAAATAAGAGATCGCAGGAACAACCGCATCTAACAAATTGATTTTTCGTGCTCAATATCAATTACGAACCCGTTCATGCAAAATAATAAAGTTCGCATTAATGCAAGGTCCTATTTACTTCAGTGGTTGTTGTGATGCTTCCGACCAGCAAAAATGAATGGAGGTACTACTTAAACGTACTCGGTATGAAATACCGGTACCCAACAACACCTTCTGGTGTGGCATTATAGCCATATGAATGTACCTTCAGCTGGGTCACAGTATTGGACAGGGTACGGAGCTGATTAGCGAGCCAGAAAGCTGCATCCATCGGGTCCTCACTAGCCAACAGCAGGTAGGCTTGGCTTGTGATTGCCTGGTACCAGCGTAGCTGAGCCAGGGCTCTTTCGAAGCTATCGCTTTTGATGCGGGCCAAGACAGCCTTTAGGCTCGGTATGCGAGCGCCGTAGTCCAACAGAATCTGTCCAAACAGCAATACAGAACAGTAAACTTGTGCAATGCTTTGTGTTGGGTTTACAAAATTATGTCATACCTACTGATTGGGCATCAACCAGGGTCGGAACCTAAGTGCCATATGACTACCGGGCAAGGGGGGGGGGCTGGTTAGCCTTTCCCCAAGGGGACAACCGACTGATTCAAACTAATAATTCCACCTTCATTCATTTGCTGGGAGGGTCTTTGATCCCTCTAACCTAACAAAGCGTAATTAAGATACGTAGAAATATGACAGGTCTGCGTAGCACCGTGATCAGAATATAGTCTGACAAAAATATTATATAATAAGTGCTTTTAATTTGTAATTACTGAGCTTTCCGTAAGGTTTTCCCAGTTAATGAAAGCTCGGCAACATCATTCAGAGCAATGATTATATATAATATTTTTGTCTATATTAAGATACGTAGCACAGGAGTTTGACAACATACACCAAGTTAATGACGAGTGGGCAAAGCAGGCCTATACAATAGTTCAATTGAAAACAACACCAAATCTTTTCAGCGTAGCATATGTGTCAAGAGATTCTCTCGGTTTAACAGCATTTTTTTTTTGCAAAATACAAGGCACTAACGTTGTACATGAAGAAAGCAAATATTGCAGATGGTAATAACCAGTGATCACATACGTGTACATGTCACTGCAGGACCAGCAACTTTACAACAATCCTTGAAAAAGGTAATTATATCGTGAGCAAATAGCTTCAGAATTTGCCCACGGGGTATACTGCATGAGTCAGCCTGATTCTCGGTTTTTAATCTCGGCTTTCTCTGAGAAACGAATTACTTTAAAGACTGACGTCATAAAAAACAGTATTTTCTGTTTTCCCGGGAAATTACCAGGACTCTGTTAACCGATTTTTCATCCTGTTATAATGTCTTACCTTTACGATGGTGTAGTCGTTAAGGATAGCCGCCAGTTGCAGTGGATTCGAACCAGGCGGGAAATTCACACTGGATGGAAAACCATTCACGAAATCCTTCCCAATCTCCCGCCAAAGAGAGATGCAAAGATTCCAGTACTTAGTACATTTTCAGCAGTCAAGAGACACTGCTGTCAAAATGAGTCAGTCAAGACTCGGGCGTGCCAAGCAACCTGGTTGTGGCCAATAATGTTGGATGTCGCTTTTGGCCATTGGACGGTGTAACCCGTTTCACAGAAAGTGAAATTAGATTCTGAACCTGGTGTCTTTTCATGTAGCATCGTTTTAATTGCCTTAAAAGCAGTCGGGTTTGATTCTTTCATTACAGTCAAAGAGTTTTCTCGGGTTCCTTCATGCACTCCAGAGCCAGCACACAATGAATCTCTACACCAAGTGTATACACATGTAATAATCGACATTAATAAATCAAATATTGTGAATTAGGCCTGTGAAATCTTCTACAGTTAAAAAACCCTAGCGACGGTCGCTTCACTCTGAAGGTTCAAATGTCCATCTTTACCTTAACTTTCTCGGACTCCGAGTACCGACAGAGGGCTTTAACGGCCCCCGCGAATTGTACCTCCACAGCCATCAGTAAGGCGTCGCCGATATACACATCATGCTCCAATAGAATATGGATCACGTCTATGTCAACAGACAAGCACCAAAAAAAATATCAAAGTCAAAATATTATAGGCCTACTAACAAAAAGTCGTTGGGAGTGTCGGGAATTATTCGCCTTTAGCATACCCAGGCTGTACCTTGGTTTCAGATGACTGTCAAATTTATTTGAAATTTCTACTCATCACCCTGTTGATGTGTTCCACCCAGGACGAAAATGCCAACACGAGTCTTGCGTTCATGTCGCTCTAATTTAAGAAGCAAACACCTTGGTCTACGATGACGATTATTCGGCGTACCCCCGGTATATATAAACGCGGCATAGTGTCCTTTGACGTGAATCGACTTTCACTAACAAATCACACTCTAATGCGGGTTGATTCCAAAAGCATCTCATTTCCTCCCACTAAACTCACCTAAATAACCCTCCTGTATAGCAATCATGAGCGGATTTCGACCTTCACTGTCCCTGCACTGGAGGTTGATCATGCCGCCATATGTGCTCAAAATCCGCTTAACCTCTTCCACCTGGTTCTGTTCCACTGCATCCAGAAACTTGGCCTCAAGAGACATTTTGAACACGGACCTCTGGAGGTAAGGCGTTTACGGAACAATATTTCGTAAGTGAACGTTTTATGTTGTTACAATGATGCTTGCTGTAGGGATAGATGAACAAGACAAAATCCTATGGGCAATATTCAATAATTTTCATTCCAAACTGGTCAATTAATATTTGTAGATTTCCGTAAAAAGAACAAACAACACGTGCCAGTGCTTAGAGAAAACGTAAAATAAAGAACATAGCTGGAATATTCCAGATGAACTTTGAAGTTTTTTAAGGACAAAGTGGTTAGGTAAACAGTTTGTGGTAGCGCCATGCTAGGATATACTCTATTCCAGTTCACAGAGAAAAACAACCGTCCATATTTAAACAGTATATACAAACATATATATATAACATACGTATATATGCAGTCAAGACACTGATTAACCAGGCTAGATGTATATGCAGGTTAATCCATAACACGAATAATACAACATCCTTGTCTTACTTCTGCAGGCTATGACCTCGTCGTCACAAATGTAGCACTGCTGAAATGATGAACTCCATGAATACCGTGGATATCATCGATGGAAGTCAGCGTGCTGACATCAACGACACGTTGGACAGGCCAAGTGCACGTAGAATATCCCCACTTTTAAGTCACATCTGCACTTCAACTATTTCTAAACGTGTACGTGTGTAGGTCTACTGAATTCGCGATAACGCGCGCCACTCCGCAGAAATACCTAAGTCGTCTGACCTACCAGCAGAAAAGCTCGGTGTCACGGAAATTTCCTCGTCACTGGTTTTTATGTAACAGTCATAAGAGCTTGGCGAATCATGCCAATTTCACATCTTCCAAGACATGACAGTGATAACAGTTTATATAGTTGTAGTATTATTATTCACATACTTGAATTGTGTGGATTGCTCGTCAGGCAGACAAAATTTCAAGGACTAAACGAAAAATAAGCACACAGTGTATTTTCCTCAAGTTTCCGAAATGAAAGCTCAATCCTCAATCTCTATAATGTACGCTATACAACGAAAGAAACTCTGTTTATCATCGAATTCCATAAAGAAAGGTTCACAGCGGAACCAAGAAAAATAACGGCCAAAATATGGGAACTTAGGCATTAAATTTAATTACAAATTTCGTCCATAAATGATTTTTTCTAATACAATCAAATAAACACATCTGAACCGAAAAGGAAAAAAAAACTGAAAACAGCAGTAAATGTTAAAACAAAAACCCAAAAGAAAGAACTAAAGAGCTATATACAATTTCAACTTAGCCAACTAGTTTACCGGTAAATTTGTTTTCGTTCTTGTAACTTTAATTAATGGAAATCAGTTTATTTCATACACTTCCGTTAAATGAATTCGATATTTGGAGACACAGTTTGGTGCATTGTTTGAAATCTTGTATTTACAACGGCAAACTATACATGTCAACAAATGAAGACAAACTGCCCACAACTGATGATGCAACATGATGACATTTCGATTGACAACTTGATTGCTCTCTGAGAACTCTGTTACTTACATACACTAAAGGGGCACACCAAAATGTATCCTGAAAGTGAGATCCTTACAACTGGGTGAGTTTGATGAGTGTTTCCAAGCAAAATGTAACGACCAGTCAGTGAGGAAGAACGAAGGAATAAAAACGGCTCACGCCAGGAGGGTAAGCAACTTGATGCTGAGATCATTTTTAGCGGCCAGGATCTCTTCCTGTCTTTTGTTCAGTTGATGAAGTTCTGCGATCATCCCCAAGGCCTCTGCTCTCTTCTGTCTCCGAGTCCTCTTCCTGGCTGCGGCAGAGTCCACCTGTTCTCCTTCCGCTGCCATTGCTGGGATGGTTTCTTGGAGGATGCGAGCGTTGATTTGTTCACTGCAAGGACCATCCGGGAAAGTGACATGGTTAAGTTCAAGCTCCAAAGAAACTGGACTTGGGGGTCACAGCTTTAGGGAAATCTCTTACCTTAGCTCTTCCAAGCTTGTGCCCTCAAACTGCTGAGGTGCTGGAGCCTCCACAATTTGTGGCTCCACCTCTATGGTCTGCTCCACATCTCGGAAGAACGGCCAAGAGATCACTGGGACATACTCCTTCCCATCTCCTGCATCAATGGCCGGCTGATTCAGGAGTCTCTGAAAGAAGAATGGATTCATGAAAGCAGAACGGCAGATCAAGGAAATGGCAATAAAATCTTGGATCAAATAGTTTATTCATCAAGTACATGTACAGTGTCCTCAGTTGGTGATCGCTAGACTGGGATTTGATCAAGAGGTTGTTGGATATGCATGTATCCTCTTCGCAACTGATAAATTTCTTTGGTCTCTTACCCTGTAGAGCTGTGACATGTTGTTCCATTTCTTCCGAGCTTGCATTGGAGTCACCTTTCCTGTCAAACCCATCTCTTCTAGAATCACCCTAAAAAAAAAAGAGAGAGAAAGTCAAATGCCAATAAACAAATATACTATAGTAAAATTGATTTGTCATATTTCAATAAAATAAATTGAAGTACCATGACAGATATGATGAGTAATCAAGTATTTGAAACAATTAAGTCATGTATGAAAATAAGATTCCAGAATGGCAAATGTGTTTTATTTTCCGTAATGCTAATTTTCATGATCATTCTTACGCATATGTTTTCTGGATACTGCCCCGCTTTCCTGTGAAAAAGTTGGTGATATATTTCCTGCGAAGTTCAAGGAAACGTCTTGTTTCATCTTCCGACCCTAATTAGGAGAAAAAACAATGCGAAAGGAGTAATACAAACGTTTTAAGACGGTGAAAATAACACTTATAAAAACAGTTGCAGCGGCTGAATCTCAGGCCACTTAAAATTACTGTTTAGGTTCACATCATCCAGACTGGAACAAAACGCAGTTGAGAGGAATTCATCATCATAAGCCGGCAGCTATTACAGCTAAAGCGCACTGTAGGCGTACATTACACATCACTAGCTAGTTTTAAGGGTCATACTATTTAGCGTCAATAAGCCTCAACAGAGTTATACAAGCATATTTATGCAAAGATTTTATTTACAATGTTAAATTAGGCTCCCACATATCAAATTCAGTGTATCACATCTATCTGAAATGATATTTGCGTGTTGAAATTTGAGTGACTAAGTCGGGCCTGTTTGTGCAGTCCAACCGGCTACCATCTTGTTTTTGTGTGGACTGCAGAGGAAAGAAAGATGGCAGCCCCATACACTGAAAAAATTTTCGTTTTCCTGCAAGAATCTGGAAGCAAATTCGGTGTTTCTTTTACACAGTGGCAAGTGTTAGAGTCTTTAAAATATGATAAAACCATTTTTAAATCTGTAGAGGGTATTTTCAAGTTGTTGATACTTTGTTGACCCTACTTGTGTGTGTTGATGGTTGTGATGCTTGTTGACGCTAAACAGCATGGCAGAGTTTTATGTTGTGCATGAAAAACTATCTGCTGTTACCTTGAGGTAAATGCAAATGACAGCAAATGTGCCTGTTGATTTGGAAATTTGTCTGACAAAAACTATGTTTAAAAAATAAGTGTTTACTTAAAAAAATTGCAGCGGCCATGAAAACTGTGGTAGTTAATGATGTGAACCTAAAACTAGTAATAGGGCCTAGCCTAAACAGTCACACTCAAATCTAACAAATATAAACCCTTTACAGCTTTAAAATATAGGCCTATTAAAGTATTAGTAAACACACAAAACTCTGAAAAATATGTCTGATCACTGAACTAGGATTAAACTCCATGGCTTGACGGCGTGAATTATTAGCTAGGTCAACATACAACACTACAGAGGGAATGAAATAGAGAAATTTACATTCAGAATTCGGGAGGCGCGGTATTATGCTCGCGTTTATTCCAAATTCCATGCACCTTCAGACCTTCCCCAGACGAGACACCCCCCCCGGGTCAACGGGGCACGCGTCCCTTGCAAACTGCGGTCGGTGAGCGTCGAGCGATCACAACCACTCTGCTTTTGTCAATCTTTCCAACCCTAAATAAAGATGTGTTGAGCTTGCATGGCCTGTACATACATTTATACTGTTCATCCTTCTTCAATCGCCGGTGACCCGGACCGTACACATGATCAGCTAAAGCAGTACTTTTACTTTTGGGTGAAGCTGTGGTTGACATTCTCCGGTGTGAGGAGTGTTGATTTTCGCTGAAACTTTTTAAAAACTTGCCAGGAACCTAGCTGCTTCCTCGTCCGGCTACAGCTCAAAATGGCGGCAAATCCTGAGCGTAGCATACATTACGTGAACGCTTCACTTGCAAAGCCAAGCCCCATACGTAGCCAGAATTAGCACAATGTGTATAGAACGCCAAAATCACAAAATTAGTTGGAAGCAAACTTGCAGTAAATGTTTCCCTAAAAAGTTAATTTTTAGGAGCAAATGTGCAAACAAACAGCTGCAAATTCCTATATTAATTGATTTTCTGTCCTGTGTATGATCATTTTTTCATAAAATACGTTTTTATACTACATAGATAATTTTTGTGATGACATTCTTTTGGAGCTTAGGCGTTGAATAGTTACTTCACACTTCACTGGTGCATAGCATTCCCACCAGTGCAAACTTACTGAACGGGCACCCGCGAAAGCACGTGTATTTATTTTCCAAGATGGCTGCGCCCACATTTAAGAATCTTCAATCCGGTGACTACGGAAAAATACCGGCTAATCAACATCTGGTGAGATATTTAGTACTTAACTACCTCGGTATACCCGAAGAACGCTTGAAATATTTGAGAAATGCTCCGATTTCAAAGCATTTGGGACCAGCGCCGGGCCTACCGGGTGTTGATGATCACTGCTGCAGTCAGTCAGTTATGTCAGTGGTAGTGCGGTTGGCGTTTTCAAGTTTTGGGTTACATGTTGGAAACGATCGATCATGATGATCATCGAATGTAATGATTCATCGCTCCCGACCGGTAGAAGTTTTTGAAAAGGGGAAAATGATGGAATGGCAAAGCCCTAGCATGCCTAACTTGCTTGACATGCTTGGCTCACATGTATTGTCATGATTGTAAAGTTAACTTGTTTGAGATTTTTTACTGGATGGAATTGCCACTGACATGCAGCACATTCCGATTGGATCGATGGTCATGACGCATGGCTGTTGTTGGTACAGACTTGACAGATTGGGACAATTGCACATACAAAGCTTCAGTACTTGTACTCAAGTCATGCAAGTTGTAGGCCCTAGTACACACATTACAACAGGCACTGTCATGACTGCGACCTGTCCTGCCTGGTATGGTGGTTGTCAGGTCATGATCAGCAGATCAGTGTAGAATCTCATCTATCTGGTTTCATCGTGTCATAAAAACATCTTGTAATCTGATAATCTAAGAGCAGCTTTGGGGAATGCAGAGCTTTAATAAGAAACTTTAATCACTGAACAGGCAAATTTAGACTTCGACTGTGCTATGGCATCAACACATTTGATAATTTGGTCCTGTTTTTATTTAAGAGAATTCTGAACATTTTGTGCCTGTTTTTTGAAATATGCACCCAGCCTCCACTTGCCATTTTATTCCTTCCCAGCCTCTTCAGGAACTGACTAAACCTCACATTGAGTCATTCAACTATGTAATCAGAGAAGGACTCTCCCTGGCTGTCAGGAACATCTCTCCAGTCGAATTTCAACTCGGGAATGGAGACAGAATAACTCTTGCTTTCAGGGTAAAGAAAAACATAAGTGTCATGCCTTGAAATTGGGAGCAGTAATATCAAGATTGGCATTCCACCTCTTTCGTGTATCTATATAGTCTTCCCTAAAACTACGGGGTTCTATGATACTTGAAGGCCCAAACCTTAAAAGCACACAATAGTCAGTGGTTTTTAATGGTGTGTCTGTATAAAGATCCTTGTCAAGATAATGTACATTATTACGGGTAGTCGGGTTGGCAGGGTAGTTCTTTCCTCGCTTTTCACCTTTACGGCCCGGGTTCGATCTATGGCTCGGTCCACACATGGATTGGGTTTTCAGTCCCTACCTGACGCCATGGGTTTTACCCAGAAATTTCCTGTCTGGGCCCAGACAGGAACCCCAGCTGGGGTTTTCCTCCCACCGCTAAAACTGCAACTGCTTTCTATTGTCTCCTCTCTACAGTACAGATGTAGTTAGATGCAGGTCGTTTGGCGGCTGCCTGAGGTACCCTTGTATGCCATCAGCTCAACCACGTTTAAATGTATTCATTATGCCAATGTCTTCAGTGCACGGTGCATTTGAACATATCTGTATGAAATGTCCCCTTTATAAATGAATACATTATTCTTATTATTACATATGAGGATGGAGTTCGTTAGGATAGTTTGTGTGTGATCACATTTAACCAAGCCTTTTTTATCTTTTGATAATTGATATTTGTGTATTGATTCGTTGCTTTCTTTTGTAAGGATGCCACCATTGGTCTACCCATGATCTCCAATCGTAACCGCTATGCAGCAACAATGAAAGTTTTTCCATCTGAGGTAAGAAGTAAGGTTTCCTTCTAAATATGGAGCTGATTTAATATTTCTGTTGTCATTTATGAGGCGTACAAAATGACCGTTTATCAGCTTGCAAGAGTACATGCACATGCAGCATTCTTTGACTTACACATCTGACCTCCCATCCACCCTCAACTCAGTGGCATTTAGAATGACATATCTGTGGTTGTATTATTTCCAGTGCAGACAGCGAGGGACCACCTATCGGGCCAAGCTGCAGGCAGGGATAGTTTGGAAAAACAGCAGAGGTGGCCAGGGAGGAAAGGATATAGTGATTGGTGAAGTGCCCATCATGGTCAAGGTACCAAGTGCTGAGGATTTTATAGCCATAAGTAATGAATCTTCTTGTACTTCTGTTAGGCACAATTGATTGATCTGTGCAACTTATTGATTGAAACTGTGTGCTATCAGTTAATCAACTGATGCTAATGATTCAGCGTACTTACTAGTCTTCTCCTTCAATAGGCAATCGACAAATTTGTTGGTCAGTCGACCATTTTGTGGAGGAAATGTCCAGTTAAGGTCATTGGTCGTGTTTGTCATCGTGCATTCTCCCAGTCAGAATGTTCTTGGTGGGTTTGTTTATTGGATTGTGCTGTTTTCCATGCAGTCTGACAATTGCAACCTAAGAAAGCTGGCCCCATCTCAGCTGGTTCGTCATCATGAGGAGGCGGAGGAAATGGGTGGATACTTCATCGTCAACGGCATTGAGCGAGTCATCCGGATGCTGGTCATGCCAAGGAGACACTATGTATGTATGCTTAAAAAAAAATTGGGTTATTTCTCTTGATTAGAAATCCCCACTCCTGAGAAATAGCAGTCAACATGGACTAGTGATTCATAATGTAGTCTCCCAGAAGTGAAATAATTAACCTGCTCAAAATGCAACCATGCTTTGATTTTTCTTATCTAGCCAATGGCCATCAGTAGACCAAAGTGGAAGACAAGAGGTCGAGCGTTCACTGAGTATGGTGTCACCATGAGATGCGTTAAGAATGACCAGACTTCTTCAGTGAGTACTTACTTCATGATAAGATGTATTGAGGAACTCTAGTTGCTATATCAAGTTCAAAATCCCATGGCTTAGTGTGTTATTTGTCGTGCAGATACCTTGCATTGCATGTTAGCCAATACTTATCATTGCTCTTCATTTGTCTCCATTCTCAGAATTTAATCCTGCACTATATGAACAATGGAACTATTGTTCTGAGCTTTACGTGCCAGAAGGAGATGTTTTTCATCTCGTTGGTCATGGTTCTTAAGGTATGTGAGCATCACTTAGATGATCCCTCCATGAGTAGTGTTTTAATGAAAACTTTGTTTAATCCGTTGCCGCCATAATGTCAAAGACTCAATAACTTGAGAATGCTAATTTGTCCTGGAAAGGCAGTAAAAGTCAAACTTGGATGCTAAAATGCAGAAAAATGTTTTGTTCGGTTTTGTGGAATGAAAACTTAATTATGAAAATCCTATACATGTATATATTTAACACAATGTATTTGTTCTTAAGTCTGGTCTTAATTCTAACCTAGGCCCTTGTAGATACCACAGACCAACACATCTACAATGAGATGCTGAAAGGAATAGAGCAAGACACCTTCCTAATCGGGTGAGAAGCATTTCGTGATGTTTCCAACTTCCATTTCATCTTTTTGTTGATGTGACTTCTACCGAAAATGTCTCGATGCTAAAGCCAGTGATTTTTCCTTTGGAAACATGACTTTTTAAGGGTCCCATGATCATGGAAAATCCTGGAAAGAAGGTTCCCCATGATCATGGATAACCCTGGAAAGAAGGGTCCCCATTATCATGGATAATCCTGGAAAAAAGTCCTGGAAAAATATGGAAAAGTCTTGGAAAAATGGGGAAAAATAGGATGCCACGGAATCCTGTAGTCAGAGGTAAAAGTCACGGAAAGCCATGAACAGCAAGCTAATGCATGGGCTGCCTGATGTGATCAGTGGAATAATGATACATTGACAGGCTGTTTCCTTTCAGTCTGTAGAAGTGGCTATGGCAGTCGTCCATTTCACAATACCAAATGAGTTTTCTCTGTAAGATGGCATAAAATGTCACAGAAATTGTCATAATGAAGTCCTAGAAAATTTGTGGGAAACCTATTTTTATACTTGACCCTTTGGCCAATTTCGATCAGCATCACCATTATTTCTGTCCTGTGCTGCATGCCAGTAGGAAGGTTGTATCAATGCGGCAGTGTTAGTAGCGTGGGGTTATTCAGTTGGTCTTGTCCCCTATCCCCCACTGTCCAGTTGTGTGACTGAGATGCTCCGTCAAGCCCAATCTCAGGACCTGACTACACATCACAGCATCCTGAGTTTCATTGGTGAGCAGTTCCGAGTCAAGCTGGGACTCCCCGACTGGTACTCGGCAGATGAGGTTGCCCGGTTCCTCCTCCGTCAGCACATCTGCATCCACCTGGACTCCAACATTGATAAATTTAACACTCTCATGTGAGTGCCGTTTTGTCATGCTCTCCTGAGCTGTGAGTGAAGCTGATTATACAGAAGAAATTATGGTTCCTTAAAGTTATGTTTTCCACTCAACAAAATCAACAACTATGATTTCTTGGACAGCTTCAGCCTTTCTGTTTCTTGCTTTACCACTGACTTTGTGCTTTCTTTCCACATAGCTTGATGGCAAGGAAACTGTTCTCCTTTGCTCGAGGACAGTGTTCGGCAGATAATGCAGACAGCCCCATGAATCAAGAAGTCTTACTTGCTGGACATCTCTACCAAATGGTCTTGAAGGTAGGGCCAATAAAACCCTCACATTCATGCTCATAGTTTGTGGGTGTACACACCCAACAGGCAGGTTCACGAAAACCATCAGGATCAACAATTTCTTTGAATGGCAGAAACTGTGCCATAATGATTTTATGATATGTTGTCCTTTGTAACTGAGTAACGTGATATGTGGTGTGATTGTTCATCATCTTTTCTTGAAAGGAAAAAATGGAGTCGTGGCTACAGAATGTAAAGTTGACTATCCTAAAGAAAGCAAACAACTCAGCTAGCAACTTTATTCTGACTAAAGGTAAAGGAATAAATGTTTACATAGATCTGTTTTATTTCTCTCATTTTTAAAGCACAGTTCAGTAGATTGTGCTGTAATAAATAGCTCGGAGAGGATTGTTTTCAGAAGAATGAAAGATCAAAAGATAATTAACATATCCCTAAAATAACAATATTTTTCCTACTTTTTTCTTCTCTTCAGCCAACCTGGATAACGTTCTGAAAACTGTTAGTGATCTCACACGGCCAATGGAATATCTTCTGGCCACAGGGAACTTGGTTTCCAAGACAGGACTTGGACTCATGCAGGTACCGATGGAACAATGGGATAGCTCTGAGAATCTTTGGGATATTCTACTAAGAAGTAATGTCTGTTGCGTTTTAGGACACACACTTTTCCTTCGGGAGTAGCCAGGAAATACCGGATACTCCTGTACTAACTAAGGAACTACCCTATCCGGTTGAGAGGAATGTGTGCTCCAGCTGGGAAGTTACTCTGTTCCAAATGGAGCATCCACACTTTTCCTTCGGGAGTAGCCAGGAAATACCGGATACTCCTGTACTAACTAAGGAACTACCCTATCCGGTTGAGAGGAATGTGTGCCTTAGCTTGGAAGTTACTCTCTTCCAAATGGAGCATCCCAAGAGCATTCTGCATTTATGAGAAACTTCATATTTAAAAGGACTTGACAAAGAAACATGCTTTAGGCTTCATTGTACTTGCTGTACAAGCTGAGCTGCGAGTGCTACACACTGCTGGACAATTAAAATTAAACCAATTAGTAGAGTCCTTTTCTTGCTCAGTAAATGGAAGAATTATTTTTGCAAATCTTGTCCTAACAGTCTGTTATGCTCTTCGCTCACTCAGACCTCGGGACTGACGGTCGTTGCTGACAAACTCAACTTCATGCGCTTTCTGTCTCACTTCCGCTGCATCCATCGAGGCTCATTCTTCTCCGAGATGAGAACTACATCAGTCAGGAAACTCCTTCCCGAGGCTTGGGGTAAGGGATTTTAGAAAAGAAGATACTAACCCAGGAACATTTTCTTAATCGATTGTTATCTTGCTGTCAGTTTCTCATTTCAACTTTGTTTATTTTCACAAGGGTTCCTGTGCCCTGTTCACACCCCTGACGGCGCACCGTGCGGTCTCATGAACCACCTAGCTGCTAGCTGTCAGGTGACCAACACTCAGCCAATGACAACGCACCTGCCCCGCCTACTCAGCTCTCTTGGCATGGCCCCGTTGGATGGTCCACCTCCTACTTCAGTTGTAGACTGCTATGAGGTTGTCATGGATGGGCGTGTCTTAGGATTGGTTGCCAAGGATGTGGCTCCTGAACTAACTGACAGATTGAGGACACTAAAGGCAAAAGAACAAAAAGGGGTGGGTACAATTTTGGGGGGGGTGTACGGGGAGTGGCACATGCAGAAAGTAGTTACAGTGTTCAAATGATTGGAATCCTCTTTGCAGATACCAGCAACACTTGAAGTTGTCTTAGTTCCCATGACGAAACATGCCAGCCAATACCCAGGCCTCTTCTTGTTCACAACGCCCGCACGACTCATGCGACCGGTCTTCAATCTAGCAACCCAATCAACGCATCTGATTGGCACCTTGGAACAGGTGTACCTGAACATCGCAGTCACACCAAAGGAAATACATGAAGGGGTAAATGCTGTAGACTTAGTCCAATCCTGGCATATAGGTTCTTTTCATTTGTGTAAATGGCACCAAATCTCCTGTAAGTTGCCAGCTGTTGAAGACATTGAGATAGTTTGAAGTTTATGTGATAACTAGAGATGAACGATCAATCAGATTTAACGAAAAAAGTAGATTTTCAGTCATACACTTTCAAGAATATGGATGTTTCAACTTTATGCATATTTCTCCGAAATGCCCGAAGCTAGTCCGATGGTCAGATCACTCCATGGTCAAAAGTAGTAATGACACTCTATTTCAGCCAGATGAGTTGCTTTCTGACAGTTGATACGAGCAAGATACTAAGCTCTTTGTAAATGTGACTTCCAATAGGAGACAACCCACATGGAGTTGAGTGAATCTGGCATTCTGAGTGCAGTCGCCAGCTTGACGCCATTTTCCGATTTCAATCAGAGTCCACGTAACATGTACCAGTGCCAGGTGTGTACTTGAAGTACAAGAAAGGTGAAGGGGGGGAAGAAACACGGGATTGAGGAAATGTCTGAAAACTTGGAACATTCTCGTTAAAACTGGAGCACTTCTTTCAGTAAGACCATGAGTTGCCATCGGGTACGCATTGCATTTTCATTTTGTTCCCGGTGTGAACAGGTTTTCTGAGGTAAAGCCTGCAAAGGCATTGGCCACAATTTAGGAACATGCATTGTTCCTTAGCTGCTGCTAATAGGAACAGCAGATTTTCTCGAATAGAACAAACACAATTCTTGTTGGAATGTTTTCTAGCATTTCAACTTACGAGCACCCAATAGTGGAAACTGTACCAAGTTATTGGCTTCAGTGGGCACAAATCCGATATTAGGAAATTGGTGAAAATTAGTTATAAGTCTTTCGTCTTTAAACTTTTAGACTAAAGTAGTTACCATTGCGTGTCTTTTGCAAACAGATGGGCAAACAGACCATGGGTGTCCCATGCCACACTCTGCAATATCGCAATGACCACAAGATGTACCGTCTACAGACCCCGCAGTCACCTGTTGTCAGACCTCACGCCTACGACCATTATAACTTTGATGAATACCCACTGGGGACTAACGCCGTTGTTGCTGTCATCTCTTACACGGTATGGTGATATTCCTTCAAGGACGACCAACTTGTTATTTTCACAGATGTGCTGAATAGATTTTCTTAAAAGTGTCCACTTTGCCGCTTAACTAAAAAAAAGCACACCATGTGAACTTTTGAGAATACAGAAACAGTTGAAGTCAATTTCAGAATGTGACATTCAGTCTGATGTCCATGCATTTATTCCTGCCTTAATTCTACACACTTACAGTTGCCATAAATACCTGATTATTCTGAAAGTTTTTAATTTACCTCAATTCCCCAAATCTCTTACTCTCTACAGGGTTACGACATGGAAGATGCCATGATACTCAACAAGTCATCCGTGGAGAGAGGGTTCTGCCACGGAACTATCTACAAGACCGAAGAAATTGACCTCAAGAAAAAGAGCCGTGGCTCAACTAAGTATCAGGTCACGCTCACGTTTGGTGAGTTTCCAGCTCTGTCTCATATTATTCAAACTTGGCAGTGTTTTCATGTTAACTTGAAGAATTTAAACAGATGTGCAGTTGTATTCAGACTTGGATCATTCTGGTTTGACGATAACGACTCAGTGATGTCTACATGCCTGTTTTATGTACTGTATTGTAGAACATTGAGAGACCAAGAAAAGAGGGTAAGTGAAAGACTGTAACTGTTTTGGGGTTAATATCTTAAACCTGTTCCCAGGTTGTGATGTCCAGGACCCTAGAGCAAAAGGAATGCTAGATGTTGATGGGTTTCCACCCATAGGTACTGTGATAAATCCTGGAGATCCCTTCTACAGGTGAGTCAACTCCAGCCTTCTTTGAAGCTGCTTTGGCTTAAGCTCTTGAGATTCTAGGAGCAGAGTGCCAGCGGCCTGGGAGAAGTCATGGAAATTTGTTTTTGTTTTCCAGGCCTGGAAAAGTCATGGAATTTTGTAAAAATAAAAAAAGTCTTGGAAAGTCATGGAATTTTTTAATTACTGTGAGTGATTTTTTATTATCTGAAATAGGTGCATAAAATGCATGATTAGTTTATCCGCAACTTTAAAAGTTTGACTATTTCTAAGAAATTGCGTTCTTGGGTCATGGATTTCCACAAACTGGTCAGGGAAAAGTCATAGAATTTAATTGTCCTTAAGGTGCTGGAACCCTATAGGAGAGGTTGGACAATTCAGAAAGTTGTTCAGCACCCATCTCTCCTCATGAGGATTAAACTCTTTACTTACAGCAAGGTCAGCTCATAACGGTGACTGTTAAAGACAAAGATCAAAGAAACCAAGACAAGGTCAGTGGTTACCTTGGCAATGCTCTCAGTTCGTTTTTCTACCTTATTTTGTTTCAATTTCCAGTTTTTTAGATTTGGAGACTCGTCAGTACAGGGTGGAGCGATACAGTGGTATGGAGACCGGTGTGGTTGACAATGTTAAACTCACAGGGAATGATGATGGGAACCAGGAATGTCAGAAGGCTTACATACAGCTCCGGATACAGGTGCAATAGACGATAGGAAAGTTCTCCAAGAATATGGCGTATGTTTAAAGTAAGACTTGTAAATATTTAAGATGACCAGTATAAGACTTAAGTGATAGCTCCTCCAATCAATTGCCTTGACTTGGGGATATTTTGTAGAGGAACCCAATCATCGGGGACAAGTTTTCCAGTCGGCATGGACAGAAAGGGATCTGTAGTCAGCGATGGCCGGCGGAGAACATGCCATTCACAGAGAGCGGAATGACTCCTGATATCATCTTCAATCCACATGGCTTTCCTTCCAGAATGACCATCGGTATGTAAGTGTAGCGCCCCCTGTAGACTAGGTTCAGATAAGCAGTAGTAACAATATGTACTGCGGTCTTGATGAAACTGTGCAGGTTGAACCATTTTAGTTCCACAGGTTTCATAGAAGGGCCGGTTGTCAAAATTCCATTTAAGGAAATTCTCAAGGATGTGTTAGTTCCAATTTATTTTAAACATCTTTGTTCATTACGTGTCATTTTTCAGGCATGATGATTGAGAGCATGGCAGGCAAGTCAAGCTGCCTTCATGGTCTCTGCCACGATGCTACGCCGTTCACATTCTCTGAAGACCAACCCGCTGTAGATTACTTTGGAAGACTGTTGTGCGCAGGTAAACTGCAAAGAAGATGAAAATGTTCATGTGTTTTGTTCCAGAGATTTGACTCTCAATGTTGCTGGCTGTGTTTGTGAATTTTAGCCAAAGATGATGCAATCATACAGGTATCTTCAGGGTCAGTGTTTCTTGAAAAGATGTCTGTGAGTTAGCAACATTTTTCATGTCCGACGATTTCTCATTCCAAGATTTGATCTGATTTTCTTATAACCCCAGCTGGGTATAATTACCATGGTACAGAAAGAATGTACAGTGGAGTGACAGGGGTGGAGCTAGAGGCAGATATCTTTGTGGGCGTCGTGTACTACCAGCGACTGAGGCACATGGTGTCTGACAAGTTTCAAGTAAGACAAATCGCTGTGTTGTCACCGGCTAAATTCACTATGAGTAGAAGTTACTCTGATGTCGAGCCCTGATGGATAGAAACATTCCTCTGTCCTTGTACTCTGTCAGTCTTTAATACTGATTCAGAGACTGGCCAGTCAAGCCAGTGTCTGCCGGAGGTATCCACTTCTCACGCTCAGGAACATCGTTGCAGCTGAGTCACAAGTCGCTCTAAGTCCATCCCTAGCCATTATGCAGTCAGTGACTTGTGACTGGACTTGTGTGAGGACTATGAGATTGACAGATTGTTCCTATGTCTTCACTTTCACCAGGTGCGTTCCACCGGACCCATAGATGTCCTAACTCACCAGCCAATCAAAGGAAGGAAACGTGCCGGAGGTATCCGCTTTGGTGAGATGGAACGAGACTCCCTCCTTGCACATGGAACATCCTTCTTGCTCCAAGACAGACTACTCAACTGCTCTGATAAGAGTATGGTAAGGACCAAGAAAAAACATGCTCAGGATTGTGCGTCTTAGGAATACTCGCCTTTTACTTCATGCTTTGCAATTTTATAAAAATCTTCCAAGTATTTATGTTTTAAGCTACCGATTCAGTAATTCTGAAGTGCTATGCATCTCAGTAATCCAAGATGGTAGCTTCTGAGTATTTTAAGTGTTAACTGAATCCATCAACTCGCCTTTTTCCTGCAGAGCCATGTGTGTACAAAGTGCGGCACCATCTTAGGCATAAATCTTGACAAGCGCAGTGCACAGCATGACGACGACGGCATTAATAGCGCCCTCTTTGGCTCCAACCAGAAATGGACCTGTAGCACGTGTCGGTCAGTTGATCACATTGATGTTATCACGATACCATATGTCTTCAAATACTTGGTAGCTGAGCTGTCGGCCATGAATGTGAAAGTCAGACTGGACGTCAAGTGAAGGCCTGCCTAACTGGACAAAAATCATGGAGCAACTGCACAGCATAGTTGCGTCATCTGTGCCATGTTTTACCCACATTTTGCATGGGGTCAATCTATTTACTCTCTTCATGGGTTACATGGATCATCATGTTCTGCCCAAATTTGGAATCTCCCATGTCACAGTATTCCATATCTTCTTAATATTGCTTGAAGTATCCCACGCCAATCACTGAATAATAGTTCATTCTCTAATATATTTTGACTCAGCAGATATAGTTTGCTACCTGTTTGTTTTTGAACATGTAAGATGTA